TGGATTGAAGCTATGCAAGCTGAACTAGATGCACTAGAGAAAAATAACACATGAGAACTAACCTTGCTGCCTGAAGGGAAAAAGGTAATTGATTCAAAACGGGTGTACAAAGTCAAACACAACCCAGATGGAACAGTCGACAAATACAAGGCGAGACTCGTTGCCAAAGGCTACAGCCAAGAATTTGGAATCGACTACCACAATAATTTCTCACCAGTAGCCAAAATGGTAACCGTCCGGTTGCTCCTTGCCATAGCGGCTGCAAATAGTTGGCATGTCCATCAGCTGGACATAAATAATGCATATTTACATGGTCACATAGAAGAAGAACTATACCTAAAACCTCCAGAGGGCTACACTAAAGTAGGAAAAGGACAAGTCTGTTGCTTAACCCGAAGTCTATACGGGCTAAAGCAAGCAGGACACCAATGGAATAAAGAGCTCACTTCAAAATTCCATTCCATTGGGTTTACCAAATCTGAAGCAGACCATTGTTTGTTTACAAAAAGGAGAAAAGAAAATTATCTTGCCATAGTTGTTTATGTAGATAACTTGCTTATCACAGAGCAAGATGAGAAAGAAATCAATGAGGTCAAAAGAGCGCTAAATGAAGCTTTTACGGTGAAAGATCTGGGACAGGCACGATACTTCATCGGCTTTGAAATAGCTAGGTCAAAAGGAGAAATTTATATCAGCCAGAGAAAATATATAAAGGATAAACTACAAGGCACAGTCATGCATTTATATATACAAAGAGAGGGAGAGACTACACTGATTGAGAGAGAAGAAAAACCTTAACAGATACGACAACCCAATATTCCAGAACCTGTCTTTTTACAGTTGTTCACAATCAAAAAGCATCTTTTAATTTCTACAGTCCATCTGTCTTTCATCCCAGCGTGCTTTACATCTGACCTTCCATTTTATACTTTCGATCTTGACCATTCATTTACTTCAAAAATCCTAGCAGGGATATTTTTCAATCTTTTACAGCCGCCCCTCAGGATCAAATAGGTTTGTAGTTTAGTTTCTCTGAACACCCATCTCTTACTCCACTCAACTTCACCAGACCAGACATCTCTTACTCCACTCAATACTTGAGCCAGTTCATGCGACAACCCAGGAAGCCGCATTTGGATGCTGCACTCCATCTTGTCAGATACCTAAAACAATACTCAGAGCAAAGTTTGTATTTTTTAAAGGAGAACAACTACCAGATTCAAGCTTTTTGTGACTCGGACTGAGCATTATGCCCGATGACTTCTAAATCCACCACGGGCTTCTGTGTCTTCCTCGAGCCATCGATGATATCCTGGAAAACAAAAAAACAAACAATAGTTAGTAAATCATCCGCGGAAGCCGAATATAGAAGCATGTCTTCAACGATGTGCGAGCTTCATGGGATAACTATCTGCTCGATGAC